TTACACAACGGCTGAAAAACGTTTGTTGTCGTTAGAACGAAAATTCGCTCGTTCGCCACAATTTCGGGAAAAATACGTAGATTTTATGGGGGAATATGAAAGGCTCGGTCATATGAGTTGCGTTGAAACTTATGAGTCACCCCACTATTTTTTGCCGCATCATGGCGTTATTAACGAAAATAGCAGTACGACTAAACTGCGCACTGTTTTCGATGCAAGCGCAGCGACGTCGTCCGGTAAGTCGTTGAACGATATTCAACATATTGGTCCACCACTTCAGAATGACATTTTTAGCATTTTATTACGCTTTAGGCAATATAAATACGTGGGTTGTGCGGACGTTGAGAAAATGTTTCGGAATTTTCTTGTACAACCAGATCAAAGAGATTTACAATTGATATTATGGCGTAAACCTCCGTCGGACCCAATACGTGTATATCGCCTTAACACCGTGACGTATGGCACTGCGTCTGCGCCATACCTTAGTATGAGATGTTTACGTCAGCTTGCGCTGGAATGTAAGGATCAGCAGGTTGCGAGAGTAATCCGAGAGGATTTTTTCGTTGATGACGTCATCCTAGGTGACAATAATTTAAATAGCTTACTCGATACCTGTGAGAAGTTACGAAATACTTTAAACTCGGCTTGTTTACCGTTGCGTAAGTGGTTGTTTAACGTTGATATCAGTGACCACGACATATCTAAAGACTTGTCATTAGGAGAACATTCCCAAACTAAGACTTTAGGAGTGGGTTGGTATAATAAAAGTGATGAACTTCATTTTACCACACGAGTAGTTAGACCGAATTTACTAAATAAACGTACAATGTTGTCGATAATCGCACAAATATACGATCCTCTAGGAATTTTAACACCGGCTGTCGTAGTAGCTAAAATATTGATGCAAAAAGTGTGGTTGTGCAAGATAAATTGGGATGATCCCGTTCCCAGTGATGTTGCTTTATCCTGGGAAAAATTTATTGACACACTTCAATATTTGCATAACCTACGTATTCCGCGTCATGTTATGAGCGCACACACACAGTTTATAGAATTACACGTATTCACGGACGCGTCGCAGAGTGCGTATGGTGCATGCGCATATGTTCGCACCTACTCTGATGACTCATCGGTGACTGTTAGATTATTGTGTGCAAAGAGTAAAGTTGCACCAATTAAACCAGTCAGCATACCCCGATTAGAACTGTGCGGGGCTTTAATAGGCGCACGATTATATAGGAAAATTATCGAGTCATTGCGTGTTAATTTCCACAAAATTTACTTTTGGACAGACTCAACTATTGTCCTTGGATGGCTACGTATGTCACCACATTCGTTAAAAACATTCGTTCAAAATAGAATAGTGGAGATTAATGAAATAACAAGTAATGCGTTATGGTTACATGTAGGAACCAAAAATAACCCAGCGGATCTGGTCTCGCGGGGTCTTAGTCTTGATGTACTCATTGACAGTAATCTGTGGTGGAGCGGACCTGAGTTCTTAAAAAAATTCTGAGTCGGCATGGTCACAGCAATCTTCGACTACACACTCCGACTTACCAGAACTAAAATCACAAACGACAACGGTTATGGTTTGTGATGTAACAAAGAATAAAATTATTAATTTTGAAAGGTTTCGTTCTTATCAGCGTATCGTGCGCGCCGGCGCTTACCTGTTGCGATACATACATAACTTACGCACACCAAAGAAAGATCGTACACAGGGGCCGTTATCAGTAGACGAATTGAATGACTCCTTACAGTCGTTAGCGCGTCTTGCTCAACGCGAATCGTTTCCGATGGAATATGATAAGTTAAAACATAACTTACCTTTAAAAACTTCAGGTTCGATTTCTAGGCTTAATATATTTCTAGATGAAAGGGATATAATTAGAGTAGGTGGCCGTCTTAGTAACTCGCCTGACTTTCATTACGACAAGAAGCACCCGATACTTTTATCAAGTAAACACAACTTCACACAATTGTTGTTTCAACATCAACACAAAGAGCTTCTTCATGCTGGTCCCCAGCTGCTATTGGCCACCGTGCGTGAGAATTGGTGGCCGTTAGGGGGTAGAAACCTAGCTAGAAAGGTTGTCCACCAATGTGTCCGCTGCACTCGAATGAAAGGTAAAACCCTAACGCCAATCATGGGCAACCTTCCGTCTGAACGAATAGAACCTGGTTTCCCATTCATTCGATGTGGAGTGGATTATGCGGGTCCCATAAACGTACTGAGTCGCAAAGGAAGGGGAGCTAAATTGGAAAAGGGCTATATTTGCATATTCGTTTGTTTTGTTACCCGGGCCATTCATCTAGAACTTGTCAGTACGTTAGCTGCTCAAGAATTTATATTAGCACTTAAAAGATTTATCTCACGACGAGGTAAACCAGCTCAAATTTTCTCAGATAACGGTAGAACTTTCATTGGAGCCATGAAAGAGATTAACAAAATGTTAGAGCGAAATTCAAAGCAAATAATTGATAGATTATCAACTGACAATATTGAATTTAAATTTATTCCCCCTTATGCTCCTCATTTTGGGGGATTGTGGGAAGCAGGAGTAAAATCATGTAAGTTCCACCTTAAGCGTGTCGTGGGTACCGCTAACTTGACATACGAGGAGTTCAGCACTGTGTTGGCACAGATCGAAGCAGTCCTAAACTCCCGTCCTATAAGTCCTATGTCCTCAGATCCACATGATCTTCGTCCACTAAGCCCAGCTCATTTCCTCATCGGCCGGCCACTCACTGCACCAGCCTGCAGAGACCTCACCGAAGCACGGACTCACAGCTTGAAACGGTTTCAAAGAGTGGAACAAATAAAACAGCACTTCTGGAAACGCTGGTCACAAGAGTATGTTGCTGAACTTCAGACAAGAACGAAGGGGAAGGCGACCAGTGAAGACATAGCATTAAACACGCTTGTCGTTATTAAGGAGAACAATTTACCACCCCTTAAATGGCGTATGGGCAGAGTTACCCATATTTTCCCCGGAAAAGACGGCGTGTCGCGTGTCGCCACCATCCAAACTGCTACGGGTCCTGTACAACGAGCGTTCTCGAAAATCTGCCCTCTGCCTGTATCATCAGCAGAGGACGACAACATGAATGCAGCCTGCGGTATCTCCAATCAAGCGGCAACGTAGATACATCATTGGAAGCTGGAGCTTCCAAGGCGGCCGGCATGTTGGCGCGACTTCTAACGCCGCCTAGCGACGCACCGGAACACCAAACTTTTAGCTACGAATCAGAGCTCGTCATTGTTAGCAACCAATCACAGCACGTCGTGCAATTAGTTATAAGATCTGTCTGTATTAAATTTTGTTTATTACCTGATACACACTGTTAGCAATAAGACGACTTAAATATAACCAACAAACGTTCAATAAATAAATTCATTGAAGAGCACCTGCCTCCCGTTCCTGTACACTTCTATAAAAATAAAATGAGGATAAAAATGACATAAAACTGATTTGAAAAAAAAAACAACGAAAATTATCTAAATAAACGCTTAATCTTACGAGTTGGCCATGTGGTAACGACGTAAGTGAACTCCATTTGATCTCATGGGTATTGTAAGAGATGACTATGGAAAGCTCTGTAAAGATCTCATGGCTTCCGATAAATGGAAGTATAACCATCCTGTCGCCGCGAGATATCATTAAAGGAGACGAGGAGCAGCATTGAATATACGAAAGGGCGTACTGCTATCGTCAATTCAGTTGCCATACGCGGGGTCTAAGGCGACCCTTCCTACATTGGAAGAGGTTCATGTCCAGCAATGGACTTTGACAGGTTAATGACAGTGTATAACAGATCGAGACGAATTGTAGAGATCTGGTACTATGTACTAATAGCTAAGGTACTAGTTCTGATTTAGAACCCCAGCCGGATCAAATATTTGAACAAATTGTTGGTTTTTGTTGGTTGGTTGAGTTTAAAAAAATAAAACATTCAATATCATTTATTCCATTTTATTACTTCAAACAAAATATCATTCATATGTGTGACATAAAAATTTACTGTTACCAATGCTTCTAATTTTACATACATTTTAATTATATAACTATTTAATTGCTAATTTAATACAACGTACAATAGTGATAACTTCGTTTCAATTTTTGTACATGATTATATTATTAAATATCAAGTATAAACTAATATTATCCTAGGACACAATTTGTTCTGTTTTCAAATAAACTTAATTTCAAACTTTCATTGCCATTATTACAGAGCTTTGTATATCGAAACCCTACATTTAATATATCATAGGTCTACTGCAGAAGTCTCCCGCAAAGAAAAAAACCAACATTAATGCTTATGTTAATTATGGCGAGAAAATGGATCTCCTGAAAGTTTGAAATTGGGCTCTATGGTTTATTTTGTTAACAGAAGCAAATTATATGCAATATTTTATAGTTTTACCATAATCGCGTCAAATTCTAACATAGGCCTTTTTAATTATCAACTTGCATTTTTTTAATAAAAACAACTACTATTTACATTTACATTATTTGTATACATATAGATGGTTTAATCAGATATTTTTAGTGTTAAGCTATGTACAGCAATAAAACAATAAATCACAGTTGACAAAAAGCATTAATTTCACCGCATGAAACATTCATTAACGTAGGCAATAAAAACATTTGCTAAAATACAGAAAGTTCCCTGAATCTACTTACACATTAAAGTTTAAATTCTGTGCACAAATGTCAATGTTGCGATGTGTAACAGTTTATTTTTTTGCTAAAACACAATCAAGTCACTAATTACTTTTAATTTAAATTTATCTCACAGTTATCTAATCTTACTTAGCAGTTATTTCATCGCAAGCCACATTATTACCTATTTACAGTAATTAAAAGACAATTACTATTTAAGTAAGTACAAGCAAGTTCTGTAAGTTGTATCCAAGGAAAACATTTTATTGCAAAAAATGAGCCTAGAAAATTTTATAGCTAGTATTGCTATAAGCTGCGTTGATAATGTTTGTACTATTTGATGGTGATTGTCTGGAACAAAAAAAAGTATTATTATTAAACTATATATATATATATTAAGTTTGTATTTTTATTTGTCTTTTTTTAATGTTAATCACGTTAATTTATTTTCTTCATTATACATGAGTAATAAAGGAGTTCGCAGTGAACCTAATATTAAAAGACTACTACAGTCCTTGGTCACTTGCAGCTGAATAAAGTAAAAGTAAAGTTACAGCATCCTCTCATTTTTGAATGGATTTACGGGCAAATAAGTGTCCGCCGCATTGCCCCGATGCATGCTGGCAGACTTCTCTTGTTTCGAAATATTTTTTTATTTCTCAGACGTGCAGTTTCCTTACGATATTTTTTTGACCGCCGAGTACGTGGTAAAACACTTAAAATTGCAATTATCAATTTCATTGGTGCCGGCCAGGATCGAAATCGGGTTGCTTGCGTACTGTAAAATTTACAGCGAGCGCTAAGCCCCTGGGCTATCATGCCTCAATACTTGGCAGCTGAATACAAAACAGAAAATAACATGATCTTATCATAATATTACGCCGAGATAGGGAACCAAATTTACAACGGTGTTTGTCCTTCCTCCCGAAAATAGCAGTCATCTCTGCGTCAACGGTCACATTCTCAAACAATTTTTGGAAGAATTAAGGGTATTAATATATTATGTTAAATGACACTTCAGAGCTTTATAGAATATTTCAACTATAACAGACATTAGTTAAAGGATTCGTGTCATAAATTTCAACGAAAATTATTAATATTATTATTATAATTATATTATCAAAACTATTAATTATTATTGTTAATATAAAAAATGATTTAAGTCAGAAATAAAATCTGATGATTTTACAAAAATTATAGTCTTTATTATTGCATGCCTTAGCACTTACAATAAATTTCCCAGTACTAAGGCCACGTGGTTTCAATTATATATATATATATATATGTTTGTTTAAAAATATAATATGCAAAATAAAGTTCTGATTTAGCATGTGCTTAAACATTAACGAAGACACGGTAACCTGAAAGCTGCCAATCAGATGAAATGAAGTATTTCGAGAACATAAATTGCCCAAATACCTCACCCACCTACCACCCGCGATTTTTACCGATACGAGCTTACTACTTTTAAAAGGCCGGCAACAAACCTGCAATTCCCCTGGTGTTGTAGTTGTACGTGGGTGGCAATCTACACTTTCCGTTAGGTGAGCCGCATGATCGTTTTTCCGTACTTCTTCTAAAATAAACCTCAGATATCGAGGTGACCTTGCAATCTATTGTGATACTTACCTTTACAATATAAAGAGAAGTGAGTCTTGCAAATAAACATTTTAAAACAATTTACTGGGAATGCCTCTCACAATTAATATATTATGTTGTTAGACATTTCTTTTTGTCTTAAAACAAAGGTAAAGTAAACGTAATGGTAGAAGTAGATTGAAAAACTGAATTTCCTGTACGTCAGACCCTATTTTGTATTTATACCAGTTCTAAAAATTCCGAGACTATAATAAAAAATCATTATGAAAGGTGAAAATATTCTGATACTTTTATATAAAAATCAATTGTTGTACGTTATTTTTTGTTATATAATTATACGTTAGTCTCGCTAAAACTTGAAAATTGCTCGAACGATTTTGATGAACTATTTTTTTATTTGAGTTCGTCCCTACATAGTTTAAAAACTCAATTGGATCCGGGAGGTGGCGCTAGTGTCAAGATCCAGAAATCACCCGTGTGAAGAAAAATATTTCAATAAGTATTATAAAATAAATAGTACAGGAATTTACTTCCATGTTTAATTTACCACTGGTTAAAATACTTCTGTCCTGGGAAGAACCAGCAAAAAACCCAGTGGGATATTTTTTTTTGAAAAAAAAAAGAACGTTTTGCAATCATTTCATATTTTTCACAAAAATTAACAACATAAAATAATATATATTATAATTAATAAATTATTCCTTAAGTTAATATAATAACACTTTATATATAATCATAATTACAATACATTCTGCCTGAGATTCATGCAATTCCAAATGTGTGTTATGAGCGCAGAGCCGATATTATACGTACATATAGAGTATTGTACGGCATAGCGAACACAGCGTAGTTAGCCTACGATCAAAACTAAGACTTAATTCAGCCGACTAACCTTAAATTTATTCATGTACCCTAACATTAGCTGTAACATATTATGTATTGTATATTATTTATAGGTTCGCAAACTAGACACAAAATAAATCATATGGTATATTTAAAATGTTACGGACTTTTGCTTAGCTGTAAGACCTTCTTAGGACAAACAGAGTAATTTAAAAATGATTAAATTAAGTAATACTTACGGTTATGTCATGGGCATCGATAGTTTTGATTCGCTGAATTGTGGTTCTTCATCAATCAGCTGCAAATTCAAATTCTCGCTTTTCGTGTGAAATGAAGCGATGACAGATTTATCCTCTAAAATTATGTTTTCAATTTCAATGACATTGTCCCTTTTCCCATTACCCTCAAGTATTTTCTGTTTTATCGACGGGCCTCTGTTGAACGACGAGGCCAATAAAGTTTCCTGAATTGTTTCATTGCCATTACATACTTTTTCAGCTTTGTGTGTAGGCATGCGACCCGAGTGATAGCTGTTTCTGACACCACCAGTCGATTCAAAGAAGGGCAATACCTGTTTAAATTCCTTTCGAAAGTTTTCGTTCAACCAGGCGTAAAGGAAAGGGTTGTAACAGGTTGATGCCATTGCCATAGAATGCGCCAAAAAGAACGAGACAAAGTAATAGTTCCATTCAGTCATCTGAGCATAGAAATCATTAAAAATGTTTATGAGATTGAGTGGCAACCAAGAAAAGCCGAATATAGCAACCATGGAAATAAGCATTCTGTTAGTTCTCCTCTTTCTGTCTCTATCTGCTTCTTCTCTTCTAGTATTTTTTGCACCAGGCTTAGAGCGAGCTCTGTCGTTTAGCCTTATACTTACACAAGTATAACATACGGCTATTACTAGAAACGGTATTAGAAACTGAAGTACAGTCGTAAAAACGCCAAATATTTTTCTAGATTTGTCCGACGGCCAACTTTCTTCGCAATACGTGTTATTATTAGTAATCTGTATGCCCATAAAGAGACCATAAGGGCACGTGACGACCAGTGAGAATAACCAGATAAAAACGATTATATAAATGCAAGTATTAAGTTTCATTCGTGGATGAAACGGATAAATAATTACGAAGAATCTATCTATAGCTATTGATGTCAGAGTTAAAGTTGATATGTAGACGCTTGTGCCTTGTGCGTAAGGCATTAAATGACATAACAGCCTCCCAAAAAGCCATCGTCCAAGAAAAGTATACATCGGAGTTAAAGGGACCGCAAAAATGCATAAAAGTATATCGGATAATGCAAGATTTGTGATAAATAAATTTGTAACTGTTTGCATAGCGCGATTACGGAATACGACATAACAAACTAATACGTTTCCAAAGACACCAAGAACAAATATGATTGAGTAAAGTATACAGAAAGCTACTTGAACGATTTTTACGTCAATTATATCAATTGTTTTATTTGATTTTGGTTCAGTAATAACTTCTACTGATTCTCCCGCTAATGTTTTTAGAATCAAAACTCCTCCTCCCACATAAGACGCCGAAGTTCCGTTGAAATTCATAGCAGCTGTTTCATAATGTTCCGATGTGAGCAATGCCGCTTCATTGTACGACCCATTATCGGCGAAAAGCATGTTATTCACAGCTGTTTTCTCTCTTGAACGCTGTTAGTTTTCTCGAAACCCATCTGTGAACAAGATGAATTTAGATAAATATTTACTTTATCTTTATATAATACAGTTAATGATGACAAGCCTCCAATTCTTGTATGAAACTTCGTTTTATAGCCCACGTGTCTTCATCACTACAGCCCGTCACAAGTCCACTGCTGAACATAGGCCTCCCCCAAGGAATGTCACAAAGCACGGTCCTGAGCCACCTGTATCTATTAACTTCCTGCGTGACTTACCAGGTTGTTTCTCCATCTAGGGAAGGGTTGACCTACGCTTAGCCTGCCGGTACGAGGCTGCCAGTGGAGAACCTTCTTTCCCCATCGATTATCGGTTTTTGGAGCTATATTGCCGGTCCGTAGCCATTTTAGCTTACAAATCCGTAGGGCTATGTCGGTCACACTGTTTTTTTTTAGAATGAGGATTATAAACAAGCACACAGTCCACCTGATGGCAAGTAGTTGCTGTAGCCTATAGACATTTAAACATCTAACCTCGATTACGAATCTAAATTCAGATGCGTTGTCACCCGTAAGGCCTAAGATGTAATGTCTACTTTCCAGTAAGAATGGTTTTGGTTCTCTTTATTCACCATACGAAACACAGCAGCGTTAAGCTGCTATCTTACGCAGGTATTCTGTGAGAGCGTGGTCCTTCTTCGGTCGAGCCGTCCTATTCGTACCACAACTAGACTACAAATATAGCTTCAGTATGGCTCTCCGTGCAAAAGCGGCCATCAGTGAAGGACCCCGTCTCATATATATATATATATATATATATATATATATATATATATATATATATATATATATATATATATATATATCATCATTACAGCCCTTCACAAGTCCACTGCTGAACATAGGCCTCCCCCAAGTAATGCCACAAAGCACGGCCCTGAGCTACCTGCATCCATTGACTTCCTGCATATCTTACCAGGTCGTCACTCCATCTAGTGGGGGATCACCCTACACAACGCTTACCGGTACGAGGCACTCTGGTTTTACTGCGGATATCCTCATTTCTGAGGCTATCACGCAGAGAAACTCCGAGCATAGCCCTCTCCATAGCTCGCTGAGCGACCTTGAGCGTCCTCAAACGGCCAGCACTGAAGGACCACGTCTCAGATCCGTAAGTCATCACTGGCAACACGCACTGGTTGTACAATCTAGTTTTTAGAGATTTAGGTATACCTGACGAGAAGATATGTCGTAATTTCCCGAACGCTGCCCAGCCGAGTTGAATCCGTCGATTGACCTCTCGGTCGAAGTTGGACTTACCTAGTCGGACTATTTGTCCCAGGTAAACGTACTCGTCAACAACTTCGAGCATAGTGCTCCCAACAAATACCGGCATAGGTGTGACATGGACATTAAACATAATCTTTGTTTTGTCCATGTTCATCTTAAGACCTATCCGTTGGGAGGCACTATTGAGGTCATTGAGCATAGTGCTTAAGTCCTCCAGCGATTCTGCCATAAGGACTATATCGTCGGCAAATCGAAGGTGAGTGATGTACTCGCCTTCTAATACCGTATCCTTTCCAGTCCAGTAGCTTGAAAACGTCTTCCAATGCAGCGGTGAAGAGTTTCGGGGATATAACGTCACCCTGTCTTACACCTCTCTGCAGTTGGATAGGTTTCGAGCTCTGGTTCTATACACTTCAGCACTTCGATCTTCCGACAATCAAATTGGCACCGCCGAAGGGACTGTAGCACCGCCCAAATTTCGACGGAATCAAAGGCTTTCTCACAGTCCACATACGCCAGGCAAAGTGGCAGATTGTATTCTTTGGTCTTTCGTACAATCTGCCGCAGGGTATGTATATATGTGGTCTGTGGTACTGAAGCCTTTTCGGAAACCGGCTTGTTCTGGAGGCTGGAAGTCTTCGAGTCTGCGTGCGAGACGATTCGTTATGACTCTCGAAAACAGCACGTAGACGCGGCTCAGAAGGGAAATCGGTCTGTAGTTCTTCAAGAGAGCGTTGTCGCCTTTCTTAAAGAACAAGACCACCGCACGTCTGCTCCACGCCTCTGGAGTAGTGCCACCATGGAGGACGGAGTTGAAGAGCTTCTGAAGGACTTCAAGTACCGGTGTTCCACCCACTTTCAGAAGCTCCGCTGTAATTCCGTCCTCGCCTGGGGCCCTGCCGTTTTCAAGGTGCTGGAGAGCCATTCTAATCTCGCTTAGACTGACGTCCGGGATATCATCGGAATAGTGTCGGATAAGACTTGCTCTTGGATCGTTACTCACACTTGCGTGTGGCTCCAACGATGGTGTGTACAGCTGCCCATAGAACCTCTCAATCTCACTCAAAATCTCAGGTGTCCCGGAAACGATGCTGCCACACTCAGTCTTCAGCTTTGACAGTTGGCTCTTTCTGGCAGAGAGATCTCTGGCAAAGACTTTGGAGCCCTGGTTCCGCTCGATCGCTTCTTTAATACGAGCAGTATTAAAGTTGCGTAAGACTCGCCGCATGCATTTGGAGATCTGTCTGTTCAGTTGCCTGTATGCTGTCAAATCTGTTGACGATTGCAGCCTCATCTCCCGTCTAACAGCCGTGAGATTAAGAGTGTGATCGGAGAGTTTTTGTGTTCTTCTGCGGCGGGTTTTGCAGAACTTAGCTCCGACCGCATGGACAGTTTCCATGAGCTTGTCATTCAGCTAAAAGTTTTCGGGATTCAGGATTAGAGTACAAGGGGGACGGAGCATTGACTTCATTCAGACGAGACCTCTCCAACTTAACGTTTAGGTTCAGTGTGCCTCTAACTATTCGGTGATCGCTGCCAGTTTTCACCCTTGCGATCACTGAGACATCACTGAACAGTTGGCGTCTGGTCGTCATAATGAAGTCAATCTCATTTTTTGTCGAACCGTCGGGGCTCGACCAGGTCCACATCCTATGAGGCCGCTTCTGGAAGAAAGAGTTCATCATATAGAGTCCCTCTTTCTCCATAAAGTCGGCCAGCTGCTGGCCCCTTTGGTTCCGTTGCCCTACTCCAAATTTCCTTAACTTCAGCTCACCGTTTTCTCTTGTGCCTAGTTTTGCGTTGAAGTCTCCCATCAACACCGTGTAGTGGGTTTTGGAGGAATGCATGGCTTTGGAAATATCCTCATACATTTCATCCACCTCCTCATCGGGATGTGCCCAGGTAGGTGCGTAAACCTGTATGACCTTCCGCGAATACCGTTTGGTGATTCTGAGTAACAGGTACGCGACCCTCTTCGACACACTCTTAATCTTTACGACGTTGTTGACGAGATACTTGTGGACGATAAATCCGACACCTCCTTGGGACAAATGGTCGCCCTCCCGGTGATAGAACAAGTTGCCGGATTCGAGAATCACCGTGTCCTCCCCCCTCTCTTCGGACCTCGGATAATCCTATAATATTCCAGCGCAACTTGTCTATCTCTTCTTCTAGCTCCAGGATCTTCTCGTCAGTCCTCAGGGTGCGTGCGTTAAATGTTGCCAGGTCGAGTCGTCGTAGGTGGCATCCGAACCTCCTCCGGAGATTCTTAGCACCCCCCTGCCCCGCCGTTACCATGGTCACCGTAGCCTGGAATAGCGGGGCCGCCGGGGACTGGGGGCCGTCTATTTGTGTAATTGTTCATGGGGGGTATATTGCCATAGTTGCCACGCTTGGCGAGCGGGTTGGCAACAGCAGTTTTTTTTTGTCGTACAGTTACTGTTATCAGGAAGATGCTGCTGCCCATCTCCAGCCTGTTTCCCTCTATCGCCTTTTACAACACCCACGGGAAGACATGGGGTAGTGGATATTCTTAACCGCCACTACACGAGGGATATATATATATATATATATATATATATATATATATATATATATATATATATATATATATATATATAGGTCATCACTGGCAACACGCACTGCTTGTACAATCTAGTTTTGAGGTTTGGTATGCCTGCCGAGAAGATGTGTCGTAATCTCCCGATCTCCCGAACGCGCCCAGCCGAATTGAATCCATCGATTGATCCCTCGGTCGAAGTTTAACTTACCTAGTCGGACTACTTGACCCAAGTAAACATACTCGTCAACATCTTCGACCTTAGTGCCCCCAACAACCACCGGTATAGGTGTGTCATGAACATTGCACATGACTTTTGTTTTGTCCATGTTTATCTTGAGATCTATACGTTGGGAGAGACTAATGAGGTCATTGAGCCTAGATAGCTTGGATCCTCCAGCGATTCTGCCATAAGGACTATATCGTCGGTAAATCGAAGGTGAGTGATGTACTTGCCATTGACGTTAATACCGTATCCTTTCTTGTCCATTTTGAAAACGTCTTCCAATGCAGCGGTGAAGAGTTTCGGGGATATTACGTCACTCTATCGTACACCTCTCTGCAGTTGGATAGGTTTCTTACTCTGGTTCTATACTCATATAGCCATAGTATCCCTTCTGTACAAACACCTCAACACTTCGATATTCCAACAGTCAACTTAGCACCGCAGAAAAACTGCAGCACCGCCCAAATTTCGATGGCAGATTTTAATCTTCGGACTTCTGTACAATTTGCTGAAGGGTATGTATGTAGTCTATGGTGCTAAAGCTGTTTCAAAAACCAGCTTGTTCGGGATTATAGAAGTTGTCGAGTCTGCGTTCAAGACTATTCGTAACAACTCCCGAAAACTGCACGTAGACGCGGCTCAGAAGGGAAATCGGTATGTAGTTCTTCAAAAGACCGTTGTCGCCTTTCTTGAAGAACAAGACCACCGCACTTCTTCTCCAAGAATCCAGATAGTACCGAAACGGAACGAGGACGACGGAGGACGAAATTGAAGAGCTTCTGAAGGACTTTAAGAATGGGTTTTCCAGCCGCTTTGAGAAGTTCCGCTATAATTCCATACTCGGCCGGCGCCGCTTCCCGTTTTTAAAGTGCTGGAGAATCATTCTAATCTCGCTCAAACTGATGTCCGGGATATCATTGGAATAGTG